GATGAAATTGGAGTTTCATTAGAAGAGTCTGCAAGTAGCTTTCTCGTACTGGTAAATCCCTGCCACGTTAAAAGATTGCAACATCTCAAAGATCAACGATTAATGCATGGAAGATTTGAAGCCACTCAACTAAATGGTTAAGCACCAAGAAGCATAAAGATATAACACAGTCAGTATGAAAATTTCAATCCAAAGTAGATCAACACTGTAGCGAAACACATTATGATGGAAGGAAATTCTGCCCAACCAGCTTAGGAGAAGTCTTGTCTGCCAGCAGAAAGCTTGCAGATCAAGATAAGGAAATAGACTTTCTTCTTTTACGTATAAAGGGGAATAAAATTCTAATAATTGTTGTTGTCTCATCTTATAATCCTTTCTTGCCAAACATATTTTAATGAATTTATTTTGCTTGTCTTTAGTTTCTCATTCTTCAGTGACCTGACTAAAAAAATAGCAACTAGATGACAGATTACAATCCAAACACCGACACATTCTTCATCAAAGGAGAAAAAGCAGTTACCAATTGCTGGACATAGTGATATAAAGGTCTTGTTGCGCAATGAAAATGCGAACTCCACAGTATGTTTCTATGAGCCGCCTCACCTGCTAAAAGCTTTTTCTCTCAGTCATACAATTTGAAAGACATATAAAGACTACTCTGACAGTAAATTTTACAACATATTGTGATAATCTGATACCCAACATCTTAGTCTTGGAACAGAGAGGAGATGCATTACATTTTTTGGGAAAAAAAAGGGGAATTTTTCAGCATTGCCAGCCAAAAAAAAGCCTTGTACTACTATTTATGCTCAAAGTCAATGCATCTATCAGTATCAGGTTTCCACAAGAAACTAAATAGAACTACCAAGTCCTGGGGCAGCCTTTGAATGATAAAATGAATATAAAGGAGAAAGGCGGCTCTGATCAAGTCTCCTCCCAGCTTGACGCAATAAGGACTGCAAATGGCGCTGCCAACCCACCATGCTTTAGCTTAAAAAACTCAGTAATAATGACAATTTCACCTGAATAAAACCAAGATATTCGTCAGGTAAAAAAAGAAGTAATCAAGAATCCAGAGAGGATAGCAGTCGGCATCCGTATACACTTAATGGAGTCCAAGTGTCCACTTGGAACACTTTGGACGAAACTCCAATTTGAAACAGTACGAACTATTTCCTCCCAAAAAAAATTAAAAATCATAAATGGGTCTTCAAATATAAGTTCAGAAAAAAATGTTGGACTAAAGTACGAAACTTTCGCATTGGCATTTCATCGAATATATTTCGTGCAGAAAATTAACACAAATCAGCAGCAATTTTCCGCATACAGATAGTTTACATTTCGTCGGAACTAAAAGTAAGTATTATTTTTTGACGATGGTCAGCTGTTGAAATTCGCTGTTCTGTAAAACCCTATCTAACCCATTACCCAGCTGTTGGGAAAAAAAACAGCAACAAATGATCGATAAATCTTCAATATTCGCCAAAATTTTCCTAGAGCAAAAAATGCAGTCTAGTGAAGAAAGACAGTGAGGAAAAGCAAGTAAGCGAGAAATGGCAGTGAAGGAAAAGGAGGCGTACCAAAGAGAGACCTTAGAGAGGTGAGCAGAGCTGCAATCCTGAGGACGATCACGAAAACATTCGTTATACAATTTTTCACCCGCAAAATGTCGACTGTGTGTTGCTGGGCTTTGTTTGGGCCTGCTGTCACTGTAATTCTTCTTCGTTTTCTTTTTCTTTTTCTTTGGGCTCAATTCGTTTGACTGCAGGGAAAAATAAAGTGACGTGAGGTGAGGAAAAAGAAAGTTAACTTTTTCACATGTGTTTGGTTAACAAGAAAATGATGCAAGAGAATACAAATTATTTTGTTTGTTTAGTTGGAAAGTCATTGACAGAATTGGATAGTGTGTTCATCAGTATAAAATATTCAATATTAAATCTCTTCATTTTTTGCATTATATATTTATAGAAAAACATGTAGTAGATATAACATTTTGCATATTGGAAGAATTGTTTACTTCTAAATTAATCTCATTCTTTAATAATAAGGTTGTATGTGTGTACAAGTTATTTCACAGATATGTAGACATAAAAAAGGAGCATAGAATGTCTAGCTATAAGCCGGTTTTTTTAAATGATAAATTCTAAGATATTCTAACTTAGGTAGAAGTTTAGAATGGAAGAAGCTTATTAGAAAGAAAGGAGTTGTACAAAAAATTAATTAGTTGAAACTTTCCTATGACTCGCTTTCCTATCAATTTATCAAGAAAAATTTTTACAGGAAAATCAACTGTTATAAGAAATTTTTATGTGGTGAGTTCCATAAGTTTCCTAAAAAATAAACATTCAAAAATTATAGAAAAGTTACTTTCCTTGACTTTTCTTTCCTTTTTTCTAGCGACAAAAACTATATTAGTTTTCATTTTGTGGGGCCTTGACTTGAGTTGTGGGTGAGTTTATATAAATACAAAGCAAATGAATACGAAAATTATGTGGTATCTTGAATTTTAAGATAGTGAGTGCTAGGTATTTCTTGGCTTTGGATGGGTTGATTCAAGTAGAAACTCATTGAAAATTGGAGATTCTTAAGTCTGTTGTTTGACATAGAACATAGGAGAGAATTGTTATTGTCGTGATAATGTTATGGCGCAAATCAGAAACTAATATAATTCGATAAAATGATGAAAATTTTGAGATTTCCCAAATAAGCATAAAGAAATTTTATAAAATCGTTATAACAACTATAATATGGAGCCCTTAAAAATATAAATAAATTTTCTTTATGTGCCACACCAAATTTTTGACCTTTTTTTTTCCCTCTCCTGAATAAAAGTTGGGTCATTAGTTTTTCGAGGGCCTAGACAGATTTCAGCAGATGATAGACAGGCTAAATTGCACTGGGCCTTTGTCGGGACTCCATCGTGACAAATCCCACTCATTAAGCGAACAGTGTATTGCGTAAATTGTAGTAGTATTACGTTTGAAAAGAAGAAGCCCATGATGCTTTGTCTGATAAACGCCACAAAATTTTGTTGATATCTTTTTTCAATATTATCCCTACTTTTAATCAACTGCGTGTTTCATTTAAATCCAAAATTTGAATTTTGAGGGGTTAAGATTGAAAAGAGAAATTCAAAAATTACAGTTCTTCTGTTTATACTAAAAAAAAAAAAATTGGTAGTGAAGGGGGAAGGATGGATTGGAGGGTACGGAGGAGCGAGTGTAAGCGAAAGGGCTAGAAAAACACATAATTATTGATATAAAAAGTTGAATTCTCAATGTGTGACTAGAATTTTGAGGAAGGAGTACAATCTTTTATTTTAATATTTTTTTCCTCAAAATAATTTCTACAAAGACGGCAATCCAATGTTATTCCACCGCTTTGACCTGCGCAAGTGTGAAGAACTCTCTCCGTTGGCGAGTCGCCACGTGCAGTGGCTGATCGATCATGCTCACCAACCGCTTAAAGGCGGCGCAGTGCACCGTCCATTTCCTTCTGTTTTTAGACTTTGAAGCGCCCAAATCTGTCCCAACTCGCTAATCAACGCGCGTCAGCCCTCTGTATGTCACTCTCCCATCCGCGTCTGTTCCCTTTAGTCCAAGCCCCCATTTGCGGTCAGCATTTTGTTTTTGTTTTTTTGGGTAGAAGCGGTCAGCATTTTGTATAAGACAAAAATTTGGGTAGACTTGACCGGAGCGATTGTTCAAAATTGTCATTCCATCTCACTAATTTAAACGTTAAAGATACAATAAAGATGTGGTAAAATTTGACCAAACCAAGCCTGCCCAAGTGTTTAGCTTTGTATAAAGAGGTAATTGCAAAAACCTCCTCTGAGATTTATAATGATTGCAGCCACTTCCATTAAAGTTTGAAAAATTATAGAAACCTCACCTAAAAAATATTTTTTTTTCATAATAAATGGTGATGTAATTACAAAAGTTTAATGAATGTCCTATGTTGTCCTTATTTGATTTGCAAAACAAATAAATGCATCCCCACTAGTAGGTTATTTATGAAACTAAGCAAGAAGTTCATTTAAATCATCTAATAATTGAATATAATGTATTAAGTGATATGAAATTAGAACTATTGGATTAAAAGTATTTGTTTTAAAATGCTGATTTCTTTTTCCTTAACATCCGCTTGTCATTTAGGGTTTGTAGAGTTGTCAAAACTTTTTTCACAACATCAAGAGAGGTAAACATAATTTTTAAGGGAGGTGGTTGTAATTGTTAGAAATCTCAAGAGAGGTTTATGAAATTATCCCAGTATAAACCCCTAACTTGCAATCTAGGCCTTGTTTGGAAGCCCTTTTTTGTCAAGTTTGTCTGCTCAAGTTTTTTAAAAACTTTAATTACAGTAATCTCGAAAAAATTTTTCGAAAATTTTAAACTATACACTTAAAAATATTTAAAAAAACACATTTCAAAAATTTTTTTAAAAACTTCTACAGTACGATACAGTAAAATTTTAGATAAACATCCAACTAATTCCCTCTATTATTCAAAGAATTTTTACGGCAGGAGCCGTATGGTACAATCGTACACGACAACCTTGTCCCACAATTGTTTTCTTTTTCTTTTTCTTTTCCTGGTCAAAACCCACAATTATTTTTTTAAGTGCGGAAAGAATCATGATGAAATGTTTCAAAGGAACTCAACAATCATTTCTGGATAAAGTTTCACCCTGCTAAGGATGGAGAAAATGGGATATGTTATTGGTTGATACAGCAATAAAAGTAAAAGCAAGCATGTATGTTAGTAAAAGAGACATTTATCCACTTCAGTTATTCCATAGTATTTGAACGGGAAAAAAAGTATAGGGGCTGGGCTAGGGACTACTGTGATCTGTCTAGTTAGAGATGATTGCAAACAATTGACCGCATTTACATCAAAAGGAAAAAAAAATAAAACGCGTATGAAAGTCAATAATTAATGTGGTGTAAGAAGCAGAGATTCCAAAAGTAATTGTGCTTTTGTAGAACACGGGCCCAACTGCCCTCATTTCTTTAACAAACTCCACTCCATGCCGTGCAACATTCATTTTATCGGGCTGTATTCTATTTTTTGCCTCTAACTTGATAGATTTTGGAAGATGTGATGAGATTTCGCTAACACTTGACGATGATTCTGCTGTCCGTCTTTGAATTCGATGTGTTCAAGAAAAACCCATGTTACATATCCTTCTAGTTGGTCTCGTATCAGCTGATCTTGTCTCTTTTTGCCTAAAACATCTGTCGAGATCTACAACCGTGCAGTGTTGCCACAAGTTTCTTTGTGCGTCATGCTCTCCTGTTTCAGAACTTACTACACCAAAAACTTTACCTGATTTTCTCGATTCATCAATTGCATGTGAGTTTGTCTTTAATTTGGTAATACTTCTGTCTTCAGACATGCATATTTTAGCTGGTTTGGTGCTTTTCAGTATTATACAACTGCTTTTGATCTTTTTAAAGATATATATTTGTTCTGGGTTGAAAGTTTTGAAAGTGTCAGCTTTTTATTTATCTTTTGTGGTTCTAGTTCATGCTTATTTTGACTATGTTGCACTTGCGGCTGTTTGGAATCAGGTTGTCGCTGCAACTTGAGGTTGTTGTGCACTATGTACGTCTTTACTGCAGTTAAGATTTGGATATTGTTTCCTCCCTCTCCCCGGATTATAGAGAATGGAGGCAAAAAGAAAAGTTTTTCCGAAATATTTTTATAGATGATTATACGTTCTAGGCGTTTTATAGTTAATCTTTCTATTGTTCAGTCTCTTTCCTTTTTTGCCTCCTAATTTGTGCAAATGAGAAAGTTTGGGCGACAAATTGCTAGCTTACTGCCAATTCATTTATTTAGTATGTTTAGGAAGTTCAGTATATGACAAATGGATGTATTCTTTAACGCTTTAGTACTTGAGGGGCCGGTTTCTTGGTTGATGGTATTTCTTGAATCAATGATGTGTTGATTGTTGTATTCAATCGTCATTTCTGCTTTTATGGGGAAGAAGTAGAACAAAAGCAAATTGTACTTCAGCATTATGTAGCACACAGATTCATATGCTACAGTGTTCAAATGAAATATTAATAATTCTTCGTAGCTGTATCTGGTTTGCCTCTTTAAGGATTGAGAAGAATATCACTTTTTAATTGGTGAAGCAAAAAATGAGGGAGGACAGTGGCATCTCACTTTACCGAGATAGGCTGGATAAAACACTTTGTTCTCATGATCTTACTGACGTGGAGACACTTGGGACACTCGTTAAAGATCACATTTTACGTTCATCAAAAGTGGAGAATGAAGGTTGGGGTTAGAAGCTTCTCTTCCAAAATCTTAAGTTCCAATAGTTTAGCTCACTTTAAAGTTTATGCAACTAAATCATACTAAACATTGATATTCATGCTTTGTAGATTATATCGACAATATTGCAGAAATGAGAACCAAAGAAGTCTCACATTTACTGGGAATGTTAAGGAGTGCCTCTGTGGATGATCAGAGGTCAAAACACAGTGACGCTTCACATCGTGGTTGGAAAGTATGTCTCTATTCATATTGCTTGCAGTTCCTGGTTGCAGTTTTCATTCTGGTGAAAAGAAGTGTGGTAATGATACTATTACCATATTATTTTGTCAGGTGAAACAGGATACTGAAGAATTTCGTGTTATGTATAGAGAAGGACCAGAAGGCACTCCATTTCATACCCTTCTTGTTGAAGGCTATGTAGATGGGCCTTTAGATGTTTGTAAGCTACATTAATTTGCTGAACTGATCTCCCTCTTCTTCCATGTTGAATGCACATTTGGTTGAGTCCCACATTCCGTGTTGATTGCTATTGAGAACTTTCAAATGGTTTTTCTATTCACTTGCAGGTCTATGCATCACATGGGAGGTGGGCTTGTTTCAAAAATGGTAAAGGTTGCTTCCAGATATATGTGCCATTGTTTAACATTATAATGACACAGGATATGCTTATTCAATCTTGGGTTTGTTACCTGTTGAAATTTGTTTAGTGTTCTGAAAAGATCATCTCAACTGGGTAAGCAGAGTTAGGCAGGGATACACCTGCTTTTGCTACCACAAACTATGAAAGGAGCAGCATCTGATATGCTTGAGCTGCAGCTTGGCTGTTGCATTTACAACAGTACAGTTGAATTCATTAAGCACATTGGTAGCTCTTAGAATAAAAGTGACGTGATACCATGCTCGCTGGATTCTAAGCCAGTGACATTTGGAGTACAACCAGACAACTTGTGTGAATCAAATCCTGTTCATCCTTTTGGCTGTTGAAATGTTTTTGAAGTAATTACCTAATATTGCCTAAAGTTATGAGCTTTAGCATTTTCTTCCCTAACAATTTCCTGCAGTAGGTGTGGGAAAACAAAAATGGTTAAGGGGAAAAGGAAAAGATGCATCTAGTACTATCAGATATTGCAATCCAGTTATGCTATATCCCTAATCAACCTGTAATAGCTTTATAATAAATTTTTACATTTCCTATTGGATGTATTTGAAACTTATGTACATTGGTTCTGTAAATGACTCTTTTTTTTTTGGTTTATTGTAACCTGGTGATGTGGTTAACATTACTCAAAATCTTTGTCTGCTTTCTACCGCTCCAATTTTGAATTTTTGTAATAACATCATTCTGTTGTATCTTTTAAACCAGGTGGCCACAGATTAGCATTCCAAGTTTCAAGATCATCTCTTCCCAGTGTCTGCAAAAGGTCAGAATTGGTGAACAGATATGTTTAGTGAGGTTTGTTTTTAGGTAAAACCAAATATTTTCAGTTGCTCTATATAAGTCATACCTTGCCTTCTGATGTGCTCAATTACTTGGAAGGAAGAGTGAAGATTTCATGGCCATTGTTGACACGGGAGGCTCTAGTCCATTGTTTTGAGTTTGAATACTTACAAGATGATCTGGTTGTTGGGCTTTTGAAGTCGGTAGGAATTTAACAATACGTTATCTTGTCTAAGTTGTGTTTTCTCCTTTGCTTTTCTGGGTCCCTTATTCTTGAACCGTATCTTAAACTGCACTTTTCTGTCTACTCAGATATCTGACTTGGAAAGCATTGATACAAGTACTCATGGTTTCGCTCGGGAAGGGATACCTGATGCACAAAATGTTGTCCGAATTGATGTGGTGGGAGGTGGTGTTTTACAGAAAGTTTCTGCAAATAGATCTTACTTCCGGTAAGCAGTTTTGGTTAAATATCATGTACCTTTATTATAGAATGATAGATAAAAATTTGGTACTGTTAAGTGCTGCTTGTAGATCAATTCTATTCCATGACCTGAAAGATAAATGACTTGTTAATTACATAACTGGAGGACCATGATAGAAAGAATTCAGAAATACATAATAGATCTGACATGAGGATTTAATTATACAAGGATGAATCTATCTATCTGTGTATCTACGCATGTATAACCAACATGGCAACTGCATTTTGACTACTTTTATGAAATTTTACTTCAAGTGTTTAAACATGTGGAAAAAGAATTTTGTTTATGAAAAGATCACATGTATCTTGAGTTTATAAAAAGGCTTATATTTCAGTGCATCTTGAGTTTAATATTCATGCTTAACTTAGTTTTCTGTTTCTGGCTTACAATTTTTTTCTTTGATTCAAATATTCTAGGTCCATAGCAACCGTGGATGTTAAACTGGACTTTGTTCCTCCAGCACTCATTAATTTTGTTTCAAGGCAGATCATAGGAAGTGGTTTCAGGCTCTATAAAAAGGTCAGTAATGCTTTTCTAGAGATATCTTTCTTAAAACAATTTAAGTCTCTACTTGCATTCCTATTGGTGACACATGCATTTCATATTTTCATGAACATTCATCTAATGGTGGCATGAACAGGGCCTCTTATTGTGATTAGGAGGTCCATATAGTTCCTCTCTCAAATTCTTACTAATGTTACTCGTAGGATCCTGAAACTGTATGCATATACATAGCTAAAGTTAAAACTTACCGCAAGCCTGGTACTTTGAGTGCATCTCTTGCCAAGTAGGATCTCTGGTTGAAGTAATGGTAAAGAGATGAAGTTGTCTGTGACCTTTTATCCCAAAGCCAAATCATTTGCCCAGTGAGTTTGAAAAGGGTGCACAAGTCCTTGCAGTTTTAACTTTCAGTGTTGGGTTTGGATCTTTTGGTGCCTAGTATCTGCTTTCCTCAGATGCATAATCCTTGGAACTCTTGCAGGAAGTTGCTTCAGTTGCAAAAGGTGATGAAGATTTTGCCAATGCTTTGAAAGATCCACTGTATGCTCGAATTCGTCAAGCCCTTTACTCAAATGGTTTACCTACCAAGACTCCTCAACCAGAAATGAATAATGATACAGCCTCTCTGCTTGAAGAAGAACCAGAAGAGAGAGAAAAATTTAGAAGTGGTCAAGAGATGGCTCATAACCATGAGCTTGCAGTTAATTCCCAAGCTGGGGATTCGTTTGTTCAAGATAGAAAATCACATGGTGAGATCGAGGAGATTAAGGAAAATGATAGTGAAGAAAGTCGATGTTTAGCTGAATTAGATCACAATAGATCTATTTATTTGCCCACGAATCAAATTGATTCTGGATTTTGGACTGACGATAAGAAAGTAGTTATTCGCCGGGAGGTTGAACAAGCTCTGAGAATATTGGATGATGTAATATCTGTTTTCCAGGGATGCAGATCAAATGATGAAACCAGGATATTGCCCGGCATCCCTAAAGAAGAATCACAAAATTTGGAAATTAATGAGGCCGAAGAGGCGGTCCCCTCAGAGGCTGATCATATCTGCAAAAATGTGGAGACACATGGTCAGCCAACAGAAAAGAAAGATCCAGAAGTGATGATTGCTGCAGATGAACCCAGGAACAGCTCCAGTAGCCGGGGTATCAGGTATTCTTTTCATATCAATAGTTTGTTTCTTACCATTGATTTATCATTTTATTCCACTTATTCAATCCATTATCAGACATACGCACTCCAGGGATGCCAACCATAATAAAATAGCTCCAGCATCGCCTGTTGAGAATGTTTCTGGTCCTCGTGAGATTGACCATGCTGCTTCGCTCTCATCTCAAAATCAGAGAACGGAATTAACGCTTGCGGAGAAGACAATGAATGAAGAGAATATACTTATTAGTCCTGATGCCAATGATGCTGGCGGAGATGAGGCAAGGAGTAGTAAAAACAGGAAAGTTCGGCTCTGCTGCTTCAGCTCTCTTTCTCGGCAGTCATCATCTTGAAAATGAGGAGTAGAGTTGACAAATAGTAGTGTCAATCTGAGTACCATTTATCATTAAATTTACCAAGTAGGTAATAATTTTTGTAACTACCAGATGATATTGATAACGTAGTACCAGCAATTATGAGTTGGTTGATAGGAGACCGGAAATGTACCAGGAGTCGGCAGGGATGGCAACGCATCCCCTGCCCCTGCCCCCATCCCGCCACCTATTAATTCTTCCCGCCCCACCCTCGCTTTCCATGAAGGTAATAATAAAAATTTGTTATATAATTTTATTATAGTTAAATTTTAGCAAATAATCAAATACTAAAATATCAATACATCACCAAATTATTATTCATTATAATTTCATAATTGAAACTCATAAAAACAATCAAATGAAAGTTATTTGAATACAATCCAATATGATAAAATAAATATAATTAAAGTAGTCAATTTTTCATTTTTGACATAAATACAATCACTAATTTATTATTATACTTGTGTTTTTTTTTTTAGAAAAAAAATGCTATTGTATTAAGTGTAATTAGAAATTTAGTATAAATGTATTAGTAACTTTAGTATAATTGATTAATAATTTCTATTAATAGACATATATAATTATTAGTATAATTGATAATATTAATTATATTACATATACTAATAAATATTAGATAATACATATAACTAATAATATCATTATCATGAGTTTGTAACCAATTAAATTAAATATTATATATATTTATATACATATATATATTTATGGATTAATATCAGAAACATCCCTTGAGATTTCTTCTAATCACACCTAGAACCCCTCATGTTTTCGAAATCACATTTAGCACCCCTGGAATAACAACTTTGGTATCATTGTTAGTCCCTCATTATTTTTGTTCCACCTTTACTCTCCTTGTGAACTCTATTTATGTAACTCACATCCCTCCAACTTTTCTAACACTACAAAATCGTCCTTGAGCAGTGTAACATGTTTTGAACATTTTGTAATTTTATGTAAGTTTCTTGTACATCTTTATAATAGATTGTGTTTCTATTATTAAGTTTTACAAATAATTCACATAAAGTTACACATTGTTTAAAAAATGTTACATTGATTTGAACGGAGATAAAAAAAAATGTGGCTATGGATTCTCATAATAGTAACAATAGTTTCAATATGTGACTGTAGTTGTAAATAAACTTGCTCTTCCATTTTTCTGAAAATGAGGTAGTATAAATAGCTTTTTGTGCATCCTAGTCGAATGGGGTTTGTAAGTTATTAATATTGCGATACCCTATTATCAAGTAAAAATGGATTGCTAATGCTATATACTCATGAATTCCCATCATCTTTAAACTACTTTTAGATTATGTTATTATTCACTTAGAAATTGCAATTTTGGCAATGACACTATGTCCATTGCCAAAAGTCAACATCACTGGAAACTCCATAGCTATTTAATATTAGGGAGTGGGATAGGAACAATTATTAGATCAACCATCCCTAAATCGTGTAACATTTTTTGAACATTTTGTAATTTTATGTAAATTTCTTGTACATCGTTACAATAGAAGTGTGATAAGTTGTTAGTGTACATATGAGTCCAATATGTAATAATCGTATTTGTGTTGATAAATTTTACAAATAGTTCAATTAGAATTACACTTTGTACAAAAAATATTACATAATTACATAATAGTTTTACATAATTTAGGGAAAACCTCAAGGGAGGTTTCCGAAATTAACTCTACATAAATAGAGTTCATAAGGAGGGTAAAAGTGGAACAAAAATAATGAGGGGCTGACAATGATACCAAAGTTGTCATTCCAGGGGTGCTAAGTGTGATTTCGAAAACATGAGGGGTTTTAGATGTAATTAGAAGAAACCTCAAGGGAGGTTTCAGATATTAACCCTATATTTATTTATATATATATATATATATTTTAGCGGGTAGCGGGCCGGGGATGGAACGGAGGTATACTTTCCCGTCCCCTGCCCTGTTCCTAAATGACGAGAAAAAATTCCCACTCCCCCTCCCTGCCCCGCCCTATTAGGCCCCTACGAGCACACTATCTCGTTATTAGGGGTGCAAATGAATTGAACTGCTCGCGAGTCTCGATCAAAGTTCGACTCGAGTTCGATCAATATCAAGTTCGAACGGTTCATTTATAACATGAGTCGAGTTCGAGTCATATGTATGAAGGCTCCTGTGCTCGCGAAATACCCCTACTTAACTAGGCATACCATCAAAATTTCCATCAATAATACGACTAGAATCATTGTAGTTTTCATACTGTTTTGGTCTCTGTAACGATGACTTCTAAAATGGTGTTGTAATGATGTATTGTAATGATGACTTCTAAAATGACAAGGACCACACTTTTTTGGTCTTTGTATTTCTCGGTGAAAATTCTTGCAAAAGACATCAAAAAGGCTAGTTCATGTCTTTAAAGTTTATGCTTACTTTCTCCATCACTTTTTGAAAGTTCTTGCAAAAGTTTATGCTTACTTTCAACCTGCAATTTTGTTACTTACCAAGCCCAACGGTGTTGAAAAAAAATTACTTTTATTTGTTGTTTGGAATTTAGGCACAACTACAATATGGCTATGTCTCCTCAAGATATTTCTTTATAACTAGTTAAATCGGCGAGTGATTCTGCCGGAAATAACAATGAGGAGGAGCTAGAATATTCCATTGGAGATGAAGAACTAGGAAGTGAAGAAGAGCAGTTAGAAGGTGATACACAAACCCCGGCTCAAACTTTGAATCAAGAGGTTGGTCGGTGATGATCTATATAATTTTAGAAGGAGATTTTATTACATATACCTTGAGACTCTACATGTTTTTAGGTAATCTATATTGGTTGCTGGAGAACTTAATCTAGAGTGATTTTATTGGTTGTTGGAAGACTTAATCTAGAGTGATTTCAAACTATTTGTTCCTTATTTTTGAGTTTGTTTGAGGTGTTGGACCTTTGAATTGAAAAATTGTGAAACAATTATGTATGTGGAGTTGTGGACATTTGTTTCTGATTTCGTGCATGTATTATTAGACAATGAAGAACTTGTTTGTTGTTACTTTTAATTCATGTCTGGAATTGTTAAATTCAAGTTTGCAAGGCATTAAATAGATTAAAACGTGCTATTGGAGTCAGGTTATATAAACTGGTTATGTTTAGTGACAGAAATTTTCAAGCTAAATTTGAGCCATTTCGAGTTCTTGTTGAATTGAGTAGATCGAGTCTTATCGAGTCGAACTTGAGCCAGCTTCTTACTTAGTCGAGTCGAGCTCGAGCTCGAGCTTGAATGTATAGTAGTCGAGCCTGACTCGATAAGTTTAATGTTCGACTCGACTCGATTCGTTTGCACTCTTACCCGTTACCATCCTAGGCTATTCAACAGTTGTTTTTTGATCCAACTTCCACTGAACCGTTGATGGTACAAGAAACATCTACAAACATGTACGTACAAGGATCCGTCTTCTGCTGCTATTCTCAAATGGAAACACCAAACCGTAGGCCATAAACCCGTCTTGCATGCTAATTTATATCTATATGAATTGCAGAAGAGATTTTTAGCAGAGACCCTTTCAATGACTTCCAAATTTCTCATTCTTTTTTTTCTAGATTTTTATATTTATTTTAATACATAAAAGTAGTGGGTTATAACTAACCCTATCACCAATCAAATTTAAAATTTAAAACATTCCCACTATCTACTTCATAAACGGTTTACAGTTTGTTATTTATACTTTAAATCCTTTTTACTCCTTAATTAAAGACAAATGTTCATTTATATGCTATTTTAATACAATGTTATATTTTTATAATTAAGAAATATTTGTCACCACATTAACTCTATAACCACCTCTACAAATGAGTTTTGCAAATTACAATCATGATTTAAAAATATCACAAATGTGCAATTAAATATAAATTTGAGAGGGTAAAGTGCTGCTAAATATAAAATTAAGGATTTTACTATATATAAGCCCTAAAAAAATCCCAAGAACGTAACAAGTAGTGGGTTATAGATTTTTGTATTTATTTTAATAGATAAAAAGTAGTGGGTTATAACCAACCCTATCACCAGTCAAATTTAAAATTTAAAACTTTCGCATAATCTATTTCATAAACCGTTTATAGTTTGTTACTTATATTTTAAATCTTTTTTACTCCTTAATTAAAGAAAAATGTTCATTCACATACTATTTTAATATAATTTTAATTCGCAAGCATACAACATGATCAAAAAACAACAGAACCAATTAGGATTAGATTTTGACTCAAAAAAAATTAGGTCTATATGGCACTGGCACGTTGCCGTAACTTACGATGCCAATTAGGACTATTTAGTGTTTTTTTTTTGTAAGGAGTTAGGATACTATAAAGTTTATTTAGACAAACTTTGACTCATCGGTGATTTGAGTATCAAATTATTGAATATACTACAAATCTTATAATATCAGTCTGCTATAAAAAAAATAATAATTTACTAGCATGTGGTATTTGCGTACGAAATTTCAGAGGTAAATCAAATGCTTTTACTTATACTTTATATAATTTGAATAGTATTTTAACGAATATAACCGTACTATGCAGGATCATCACTTTGTACAATTGGAGTTAGCAAATTGTATATCAATTACAATTTAAATTTTGCTCGATACCTGCGCAGTTTGTGAGTTCTATCAGTAACACTACATCAAACTTTTAATAATGTTATTTCATACTCTTATCAACGTGTATTTCAAAAAATTGTAGGTTTGAAAATGATACATGTGCTCAAAAGTTAGTTACGTGGTTGAAATCAAGCAATTTTATAACATCACAAGCATTGTTGATAGCAAATTCAAAGAGAATATAAATATCCGAATATACAATCATGCCTACGGTAAACTTACTCTATTTAATTTAATTACTGCACAAATTTTTTAAATTTGTAATCATAACCTATACCTTCTTTCATTCTTATTAGATTAAATATTTTCGAATACTTAGTTACATACAAAGCATTAACATAGAAAACATGTTCTATGAGTTATGCAAAAATTGTGGATAACTATATGAAGGTCGTTTTTCAAAAACATTGTGTATGCATTGTAATGATGTGGTCGACACTGTTGTTAGGTAATTAATTTCATGTATCTTTAATTTCAACAAATTTTTTTGTGTTGTATATAACATTTTATTTGTCAAATATGTATAATGTTAAAATACAAATCAAAGATTCCAGTGGTAACATGCATCTTAATCTACAAGACAGACATGCACGATTCATATTTGATTGTAATGTTTCTTATATCAGAGAATTACAAAGGAAAGTAGAATTTCTTGATATATGTTTATTTTTTATAATACTATTTATAAACTATGTAAAAAAATACATTAATTTTGAATTTCGCGCGTACTTAATTCTTAAGACAATGATAATAGGTTGTTCAACCAACGAATCAATTCTTGCAAATATCGTGCATTTTCATTTGTAATACGCATTTCACAAAATTCAACAGAATTAATTAAATAACCAATTTTGGCTTTCATACTAAAAGTTGATTGTTGGGAAGAGTGTTCGCACCTTCATGCAAGATTATCAAATCGAATGCATAATATTTGTAAATATTTATTTTAACAACATTTAATTACATTCATTTTTATTTATATATCATTCATTTTTTAATATAAATTTCTATTATTTTTTCAAGATCTATCTTTCGAAAAAAGTAATTTTTGAATAATATACACATTTTATCATATTTCAAACTATTGTTACACAAATATTATATTTTAATTATGTTGGTACAATTTTTTAATTTTTTTTAATTTATCTTTTTTAATTTTTTAATAATATCAGCACCGCACGTAGCACGGGTATTTAAACTAGTCCTGTGAATTACTGAAGCCGTGAAATATAACCACGAGGAATCCTATCACAAGAGTAGGAAGTTTCTTCCCCTACTCTACTGCCCTTGCCCAGCGCAAACAGTAAATACACATAACAACTTACTCTCTCTGTCATCACTTCTTTTTCTATTTTTGGGTGTAGATTAGAAGTGCAAAATGTGGAAGAAGCTCCATTCTCTAACTCCACTCTCGACCAACCTCCTCCACCGCGGCAGCGCTTCAGTACCTTATCCTTCCGCCACCACCGCCGACCCCTTTTCTTCCGAAATCACTTCCAAACGAAGTTCCCTCTCGCAATTTTCCTCTCTTCTGTTATCTCCTCCCCAATTCCAAATAGAAGGAAATTATTGTTATTCTTTTCATTCTCCTCCGTCTTCTAGAGTTTTCCAAACCCCGAGACTCCATTCAGGGCTCCACGGTCTAAACTCCGGTTTCTTCTGCTCGATTGCAAGTTCTCCTGCGGCCAATTCAAAGTGCTGGAATTGTAATGCTGTTGCATCCAGTGCGGTGCCGTTTTTGGTTTGTCACGGTTGTCGCAGCGTCCAACCTCCTGATCCTTCCATTGATTACTTCCAGATTTTAGGAGTGTGAGTTTTTTATCGCCTCTCTTTTAAAACTTAATTTACAGCCCTAATTTTCTTGCGTATTCGGGGTGCTTGTGATGTTTTTTTTAGTTCCCTATTATTTTCCCATATGAATGAGACGTTCCGTGCTAGACATCCTCCAGTTTTATTCTAGAACGATTCTATCTCTAAAGCGTCACTAAATTTCCTGTCCAATAATTTCTAGGGAGAAGAAATACGATGTCAAGGTCGAAAATTTGGAGGGCAAGTACAAAGATTGGCAGAAGAAGCTGCATCCTGATCTTGTTCACACCAAATCCAAGGTTCTTCCTTGGGAAACTATATGTGTGTTTGGATTGTAAGTTATTTGAGATATTTTTCCTGTAATATTTTTTGTGACGTGATGGATGTGAGATAAAAAGGTAATTGGAAAGATAAAAAATTGTATTGGAAATTGTAATGGTGACATAAGCAAATATATTTGGACAAATAACTTACAATCCAAACACAAATATTTTGCTTCAGTCCCTTTTAGTTTTATATTCATATGCTTACTGTCGAGTTTTTTCCTCTCATATTAATTGGTTTTTTGTTACTGTCTCTGTTAGAAAGAACGGGACTTTGCTGCTGAACAATCTGCGCGGGTGACTGATGCTTATCGGACCCTCAGCGACACATTGTCAAGAGCTGTGTACCTTGTAGGTTATGTTTTTAGACGATGCACTATGAACTGTTTCAATATTTTTTGATGATAGAAATAGCTCTTCTTCTGAGACTTTTTGCAGGTTTTATTGCTTTCTTGTGAAAGAGTGTCATTGTAGAAGCAAAGAATAGTGCGTCCTTTACACAAATTTCTGATTATGAATTACCCAAATTCATGGAAATTGCTCACAATAGTCTTTCACCTTCTACAATTTTAGTGGCTCAAACTAGCAAGTTTAATGATTGATAATGCATCAAACTAGCACAAGTCCTTTTGATGGCTGAAAATCAGTTAGATGAGGCTAGCTTATCACTTTGGTGTCATAACTACACAACAAATGGGTAAGTTAAGAAGCTTTGCCTCTCCTGGTTAACCAAATGATACAGGGAAATGGACCTTCAAAAGGAACATCAAAAGGTTGAATATGTTCAAGAGGTTTCCTTCTTAGTATGTGCTAATATGTTGTACTACTACTGTTGGATTGTATAATTGTTTAAGTATGTAAACATAAAGGTTCAGCATTTGTTGTAATAAGGCATGAAAACCTGTTGATGTTTTAATTTTTAATACAACAGTTGTGTGTTTTATTTTTTGACTATGTTAATAAAAGATTCCCACATTGTTAGCCATACATGTCTCTGCACTGACATCGGCACTACTATTTGTTGTATACTACTAGTATCATTGTGATTGCTTTTCAATTTCTTTCCCAACTTTGTAGCTGAAGCTTGAAGGTCTGGAGGTGGACGAAGAGGGCAGGATTTCAGACCCTGAGTTACTTGCTGAGGTAATCTCTCTTAAACGTAATAATTCTTGTATTTAACATGTTTTTTGCTTTGTTTGCCTGTTTCTCCAATTACCTAGACATTGCATAGGTTACAATTAGCTTCAAATGCATATAGAATGATGTGAGGCTTTACAAAAGTTCCATTATAAAGTTAAGGTTAAGTTGCATTAATGGATAGTTAGAATCCTGCTAACTCATATGATATCTTGAGACTGCCTTGATATTTTGGCAGATTGAGCTTTCCTAGACTACTTAAACCAATGTGTCACTGCTTCCTCTCGAAGAATTAGTGATTGACATTCTCAACTGATGAATCTTGCTAAAAAATAGATTTTGAAACGCATTTCATTTTACAGCAATTTGTATATTGAATCTCATTGCATGAGATTAAACAGAGAATAATGCACATAGCTCGAACTGTACTAACCCTTTTCATGATTCGTGTAGATAAAGTAAAATTTTTTATGGAAGATTCTAAAAATTGTTGTCATTCTTTTTCAAGATAAGCATGCTTATCTGATAAAGTTTATAAGTGAACCAATCGCCTGCATAAAGTGGGAAAGGCCTGAAATTCATTAAGTTTGTGATATCGTAAGTGACAATCAGCTTAAACTGCAGATCATGGAAATTAGAGAAGCTGTTGAAGAAGCAGCAGAGACACAGGCATTAAATCACATTCAGGCACAGGTATGAACTGGGTTTTGTAATTTGGTGATCTTGTGCAGGAAACTCATGTTGGGCCTCCAGCAAAGAGCATTGAATTATAAAAAAGGGAAAATACGCATTTTCACAGTGTCCTAGAAACTAAAATCAGTTTAGGTTCCTAGAAGAAGAAGTCAAGGAAAAACAGTTAATTCTTGAGCTCAAATTTGAATTTAGAACCAAATTAACCAATATTATCCCCTTAAATAAGGTTTTCAAAGTAAACCTTAAAATCTTGTCCGATTACCTTCATAATCCATGCCAAGAAACTTCTAATATGGAATGAACTCTTATGTAGTGCATGAAATAGAGGGAGGTAGAAAGATCGTTCTTTTGAATGGTTGCATACGTTTTCTCATGTTCTAGGATAGGCTTTGAGTAGTTTATCATGTGAAAAGATATAAAAGTGCCTCCATAAAAGGTAAACCAACACCAAATAGATATCGGTATCATTGATGATTTTTATCAAGGCAGAAGTGCAGATCTAAGTGCTATTGACATCTCGACCTTTGACTTGTGCAATCTATGTTTCTATCTATGCAGATATGGAAAAAACTGGAACATTGGTCTAAGTCCTTCGCAGATGCATTTCAGAGTAGAAAGTATGAAGAAGCGATATCTTCAATCCAGAGAATGACATACTACAAGCGGGCAAATGAGGAGATCATTAAGAAGCTCTAACACAGGCATACAGCTCTTTGGTCTTCTGAATTGCTTTGGTGTTTCCTGCCAACTTTGAAATTTAGGAATATATGACAAACTGTGATTATTTTTTTTTTCTTTTTAATTTCAATATGAGTAGCTATGTCAAGATAGTCATGTTTTTGCAAAGGTACTCAGTCATACTAGACCAGACCAAGAATTTCTGATATCCCTGATGCAAGAAAGGAGTATACTTTTCTAGAAGGTAAGTTTAAATTTCATGCTTCATATTATAATCAACAATTACAGTAAGTTTGTGCTTAAGAAGTCTCCTTATTTAGTATTTTCCCGGTGGATCTTTTTTTCCCTGTATTTTTGTTTGTGCTATGTGTGTTGTAGTTGTTGTCTTAATTTTTTTTTTTTCCGGTTTTGGGTTGGGGGGAGGGGTTGGGGGTGGTGTAGGAGTGCCTTTTTATTGGGTCAGATGTATTTTTGTAGTGTCTTTGTGAGTTCAGTATTTGCTACTCTTATGTCAATCTCTGGTTCACTTGTCGCGTTATTCATTTCAGAAGGATCTTTGCATGCATTCTTTTTTCCTCAAATTTCTGCTTCTCTGTCCTTGTGTTTGCAGGTGTCATTACTGCGGTGATGCTTCGACTAAACGCTCAACCAAATGACTTGGTGGCCAGAAACACAATCGAGTGGCTTGTGTGATCAAATTTTGTGAAGAGACCACATTTATCTATTAGTCTGGGACTTGACGACCGCCAGCTTTCTGCTGCTGCTGCTGTATAAACCTTATTGCCTGATTGTGTCATAGATGAACGACATGTCACTAAGAGTTGCTTCCAGATTGTAGTAAGAAAAGGCTTTGTACATTATATTCCTGGTGGACTAAACTGGATTGGCAGAATAAATCTCTTAAGCTTTGCTCTTTTAACAACAAAAGACGAAATTTGGTGAAGCCTGTCGTCGAAAACAATCAGGGACAATTTTAATCTTCACAATTGTCCAATTAATATTGTATTACTAAGGAACATATGCGAAGTGACTTAAATGAAAGGAAGTAGCGTCATGTTACCCTTTTATACCCGATTTTTTTTTTTTCGGCTTGTTTTTTAAATTGGAAAAAAAAAAGGGCTGGACAAATAAGGAACCGCCAACCAAAAAAAAAAAAAAGGAACAACATATGTCAACCTACGACGACAGTCTTCTTCGACATTTTTTTTTTTTTTTTACCAAACGATAAAAGATTTTCTTCGACGTTTAAGATCCAACTTTTTCCGCAGTACAATTTGGGCCAAATCGTGTTTGCCTTCTCTGTTCAGCCCAAAGAGAACCGCTCGAAAATTTATCGTACTAGGGATTATCCCAGCATCCAACATGTCATCAAAAAGTGGAAGAGCTTCTTCAGACCTACCTGCTCTGCAAAGACAAGCAATGAACATTGAGTAAGCCTTGAAATCAGGGAATGGTCCATTTTGCTTCATATGACGGAAAATCTCCCAGGCATCTGTAATCTTTCCCATCTCCATATATCCACGTACAATTGCAGAATATGTAACAGTTGTTGGTTGGCATCCCATCTCTTTCATCTCCTTAAAGGTTTCTAGAGCTTTAGATACCTGCTTCTGCCTAAAGAACTGGACCATTAGTGATGTATAAACATGGACAGTAGGGTGGATGCCAACCTGCTTCATCGATTCCACCCTTGACATTGCCTCTTCAACTCGTCCTCTTCGTAGTAGTCCGTTTACTAGGCTACCACACGTGTACTGTTCTAGAGTATGCTTCTCGCTACCAGATTCATCAATTAACTCTAAAGCCTCTTCCAGCCTTCCTCCACGACAAAGGGCCCTTATATACAGCGATCTGGTCAAACTAACTGTAAAACCAACTTTTCGAAGAGATTCGACACACCTCCTTGCCTCCAACAGTTTACCAACTTGACACAAACAACCAAGGTAAGATTCTAGTAATTCTTTATCAGGTTGAAACCCTGCTTTAATCATCTCTTGATAGATTAAGATTGCTTCATCAACATTCCTACCCTTTTCACCACAAAGAGATATTATCAAGAACTTGTACGTACTTGCATTAGGATTACAGCTACTAGCTTTCATCTCTCTGAAAGTAGTGAGGGCAATGTTTGTGAGGCCCACTCGACCATATTGCATTATCATGATTGTCCATGTATCAGATGTTATTGAGCAGCCATTTCTCCTCATTTCGTGGAAGAGACTTCTCATGTGTTTAAAATCCTTTACTTGTCCTGAGAGTTTAATAGCCATGTTGTAGGCCTCAGTATTGTGTCTATAACCACTTTGCTTTGCAACCCATGAGAAAAATCGTAGTGCGGCACCACCATGCAAGCTGCACTTTCGCAAAGTATCCACCACAAGTTCTGGGGTGAACTGTATAGCACGTTTCTCCAATTTGTCTTGAAGAGACCACCAATCCTTTGAGGATGACAAGATTCGGTTAACTTCATGCAAATCATCTTGGTTATAGGAACTTGATGTTGACTCCACCACATTACAATCTAAACATTGTTGCTCTAGTTGTTTGAAATTTAACTTTGCATTTGATTCTGGTTGAGTCGCTATATCAGCAGTAGGTGAGTCCTCTTCTTTGGAAAAAATGTTGCAGCTTTTCTGCATCTGCTTTATATTTTTTACCTTATCCATCTCTCCCTTTTTCATCATATAAAGTATAACAAACTGAAAGATATCATTTCCTATTTTAACCTGTGAAGCCTGCATCTGGATCAACATATTGACAATCTCATCTGTTGCAGAAACTTTACAAAGCTCCTTGATGAATATTGAGTAAGACCTTTTAGTCAGTCTGACCCCTTTCTCCAACATATTGTTAAGCACTTGCCACGCATCAGAAATGCGGTTTTGACTAATATACCCTGCAACTATTGCTGTTGTTGCTACGCTATCCAATTGTACACCAACATCCATCACTTCATTATAAAGTTCCATGGCTTTCTGAAACTCTTTCATGCGGATCAGATGTTGCATCAGAGTAGTGTAGGTAGACACAGTGGGTGAACATCCTGAAACTTTCATGTTCTCAAAAGTATCAAATGCCTTAGAAACATCATTTTTTCTCAAGTAACCATTAATGATGATTCCATACATTTCCTCATCGACAGAGTTCTTTTTCTTCATAATATCCACAATTTCCAAAGCATCAGCAATTCTATCTGCCCTACACAATCCTTTGACCAAAGTGTTGATGTTTTCAGATCCAAGGCTTGCACTTTTATCCTTGAAGGTTCGGATCAATTCTAAGGCTTCCCTAATGCGTCCAGCAATGCAGAAACTCTTCAGCATGAAACCATAAATGACGTGTTCAGGAATCTCCGAAACTTTTATCATGTCATCACCAACAGCATAAACAGCATCAACATGCCCGGAGCATGCTAAGCATTTAAGTAGTTGTTGATACAAACCCGAGCTCACTCTCATATTTCCATGGATCATCTCCTTGTAAAACTCCAACGCAATGTCCCCTTTCCCAGCTTTACAAATGTTTAGCAACATAACCTTATAAGCCATCACATCTGGTTGGAGACCAGATTTCTTCATCTTCTCAAAGGTCAACAAAGCTTTGCTGATCAACTTCGCCTTCCCATAGTGATCTATGAGAATAGTCCACGTTTTAATATCTTTCTGACATGAATTCTTCTCCATTTCCTCTAGTAATACATCAACCGAACGAAGGTCCTTCGCTTCCCCCGCAATGTAGATCATTATATTGTATGTCTCAGTTGAGGGACGAAACCCTGCTTTCAAAGTTACCCAATTAAAGAACCTCAAAGCCAATTGAGGAACTTTAAAGCATCTCTTCAGAACGTTTTCAACAATTTCCACATTATACTCAAAACCGGCTTCTTCCAACTTTTCCTCCATTGATTTGGACCTATTTTCACCCCTGACAATCTCAGTAACCTTATGGACCATGGGACTGACATCAATTCCATCCGAAACTTCCGTTACTGTATTCTCGGAAACCAGTAAAATTTCGTCTTGCTGTTCTACTCTCTTTTGCGAATTTAAACAAATATCTTGCAGGCCCTGTGACGGCCGTGCTCCTACAGCATCTCTTTTCAGGTCCGTTACTTCTGCACTCGAAAACCCCGTTGGATTTTGATCTGTTATTTCATTTTCAGCTCCCAAAATTGCCAGGATTTCATTAAAGAGCGGGCCTAACTTCCGGTCGTTTCTTTGGGCAATAATGGGGTGTTCCGGAGATTTATCTGCACTGTTGGATTTGGAGATAACTGAAAAAGTGCACTTTTGGAATTTTGAGACCTGAGTGCAGAGTTGATCGTTTACGGATTTTGGATGTAATAGGAACCTCAGTATGCACCTCATTCTTTTCGGTGGCCGGTTTCTCAGAGTTATTGGAGCTTGCAAGTGCGTTTAGCACAGGACACGGCCGCAAAATGCTTTCCAGTTTAAACGTCGTACTTTTTTTAAGGATTAATTACACTTTACCCCCGTAAACTTTGGCTCCATAATAACATTCTATCCCCCTAAACTTCAAATGTATATATTTTACTCATTGTTATTAACTTGTTGATGCAGTTAAAATGAAGTTATATATTTTACATACTCAAAAATATCCCTGACTAATTCTTAAATGTATATAACAATTGTGACAAAATTGATAAAATTGCTAAATTCTTCAATACAATAATATCGTGTGTTTTATTGTGACACAATTGATTAAAATTGCCAAATTTTTAAAATTGTGACATAATTCTTCAATAATTGCCAAATTCATTTAAATACAACAATATCGTGTGTTTGACCTTTTGATAATAAAAAGAATTATAAAATTTGTAAAAAAAGAAAGCATAAGCAAGTTAATGTGTTTATCACACCACTCGAGAGCTGTGTATACTAAATAAAAATGTATTTAGAGAATCTTCATTTTTTTTAAAAAAAATTTAGAATTTAAACAAAATACAAAATAATGTATAAAAACACCAAATGGCATTTTATTAACTCATGAAAATCTTATGAGAGCTGTAACATAAATGAAAATTATCAAAACCACTCTATTTACTATTTAAAGGAAGAAAGATAAGCAATGGAAAACTTGCGCAAAAGTTTTAGGAATTTTTAAATCCTTTTGTTCCACAATACAAATTTTCAATTCTTTGATATTATGCCATTTTTTAATTTTTTTTAAAAAAATTTTAAAACATGCGACTTTGTGTTGATTCTATTAAGATGTTTTATGTTTCGATTAAAAGCATAACATTATTCTAGAGCCATTATGTATTGGAATTAATGTCATTTTATTAAATTTTTGGATGGAGAATTCATCACTAACATTTGACTAATTAATGAAGGGGGTAAAGTATATATATTTAAAGTTTAGGGGAGTAAAGTGTTACAAAGGGTCAAGTTTAGAGGGGAAAACTGTAATTAATCCAAATATAAAATACGTGCACATAAATAAAATGAAATGTACACTTGATTTTTATGTGTACACATAAATTTGTTTTTTCTCAACCATTGATCTTTCATGTGTTAAATCCTGACCTTCAATTCCTTGAACAAAAACGCTCTCTCCAGAAAGCTAGCGAATGACTTGACTACGAATATTAATTTTATTGTCCTGCTTTTATTAACCGGCGGAAGAAACGTTTTCCTTCTCCTTCTGGATTGTCCCCGAAGCAAGCAACCACACCAGCAACGATGGGTTGGGTCTGGACGGATGACGAAGCCGCCGCTGACGGTTCTTCTTCCTCCTTCTATTCTGACGCTAGCGATTTTTGTATCTCAAGCTCTAGCTCCGGCGAGCGGTGCTCCACCAGAAAAGTTGTCAAAACTCAGTGCCGCACTGAGGAAGTCGAGCCTGGAAAGTTTATGAGAAAGTGTCAGAAAACCGAAGAGATTTTCAAGGATTGTGTTGGAAGGTAATCCATTTTTCTTCTTCGCTTTAAATTGCCCTAGTTTTTATTGGATTTGACGTTTTTTAATCCCTAGTTTTTTCGCTAACGGTTATGCGAATTGATCACCTTTGTTGAGATT